CCGCGACTAATTGAGTCATCAAACTCTGACATCAGCACTTAGGGTTGATGGACTAAATAAAAAAAGCGCTGTATTTCTTTTCTGTTCTTCCGCATCTATTCAAGAGTTAATTGCCTTGTTCTGTTATTCGTATAACTATATACTGTAATATTTATATCTAATACTTATTGCCGCATAGAATATTAGTCTGTCAGGGCTCCAACAACCCCTAAACTTGGCCCGCTTCAATTAACGTATGTTCTCATGTCCGAAACTACTCGGCCGCGTTCACTGCTGACAGCTTTGATATACTCGCACGGGTGAAACGTAATTGGATAAATGTCAAGTTTGATAATCGATTGACAGGCAAAACTGAAGTCATTATATTAAATGCGAAGCCGGGGCGGGTCGCTAACCCGCCCCGGCTTCGCACAGGTGCAATGCTGAACGTTTGTTTTCGACATCGCATTAGAAACCTCCAAAATTATCAGTGTTTCTCTACTATATTATGCATGAATTATACATGATATATACATATAAACCTTCCTCTTGAATCACTCTATCTATTAAAGAAAACCGCATCAAAATCCGTTGCGTAGTTAAAGATCTAAGCATATATAAGGACAGACAGACAGCGGGACGACTTTGTTTTGTATTATGTAGTGATTCACCGCCGACAGAAGTATGTTACTCGCCAAATGGTCATTTGAATCACATTTGATTGCTGACGTTCTAATAATAATAATAATAATAATAATCTTTATTTGCCATTAAACTGGGTGATTAAGAAGTTGATTTACAAAATTATTGACCTCCAAGTTCAGCCATAATATATGGCATGCAAATATGCGTTACTTTGTATTTAATAACCAGTGTTATATTTGATATAAAAAAAGTACAATTTATATGGATGAAATTGATACAAGATTTTATAATATGTACTTACTACATGTCAATACTGATTTTAATTATGATCTAGAAATTCCTTAACCGAGTAAAATGTGTGTTTTAGAAGCCACTCACTGTTTGTTAAAGATTGTTTTGCCCATCCAGTAGCAATTCCTTTGAAAGCCTATAGTTTTCGGTATTATATCAATAAAAAATTTATTTGGGCATCTTTTTGCTCTAGGGGCCGTGTCATTTTTGTCATAAATACTCTCCTGGTGTTGTTTAATAAATTTAGCCATTTCCATAATAAATGTTTAATAGCTCGGGATGCATTTTTTTTTGCACTATAAACATTTATTAACCTCAGTACTATTACCCCAAAGCACTAATTTAGCCATTTCCATAATAAATAACAATTGGGGTTAAGAAGATCGAGTTAGGTAGCCTATTCCGTGATATTGCTGTCGTAATTTCCTTGTTTTCTTTATTTGTCAGTTTAATAAAATAGTCATTGAAAGTATTTGCAATTTCTGTCGCATCTGTTATTACCAGGTTATTATGTTCAATACTATCTATATATCGGCATATTGTCTTGTTGTCTAGTTCATTTTTTATTATTCGCCAAGTTGCTTTCATAATATCGTCACTATTTTGTATGTATTGAATATTACAGCATTTCTTTCAAATATTAATACATTTTCTTAACATGTTTGAATAATTTTTATATATTAATTTATTAATATTTGTTTTCTTAGTATAATATTTGTAACGAAGAACTTTTTTTGTGTTACAACTTGTTCTAAGTCCTTTAGATATCCAACGTAGTTGAGGGTTCGTATTTAACTTAATTTTAATAACTGGAAAACATAATTTATAAAGTAGCTCAAATGTTTCATAGAAATGATCAAACGCTCCGTTGAAGTCCGATTCAGAATATACCTCAGAAAATAAAATACTAGACAGATACTTTTTACATTTTCCCTAGAATAGCAACGTTTTAAAATGAAATAAGATGCCGTTACTATTCTTTTAGATTGTACTTTGAAATCAATTATTTGGGCTGTATGATGGTCTGATAGAAATAGTGGAATAACATAAGCCTTTGCATCTTCAACGTTGCTTATTATGTGATCTATACATGAATTTTCCCTCGTAGGGTCCGTTATATGCAACGTCATATTATATATCTTAGTTATATCTATAAGCCGATCAGTTATACTATTTGTTTCTAGAGTATTAATATTTATATCACCCGCAAAAATTATTTTCTTTTTAGAATATTTTGAATTGCAGGTATGTAATAGGCTTTCAAGTTTGTGGAAAAATGTATCTATATGATGTTTCAGTCTAGTCGGATTTCTATAAGCGCTAATGATAATAACATTAGAGGAGGGTATTAGTACACAACAACATTCAAAGAGGAAGGGTGCTTCTATGGTCTTAAAACAGTTTATATTTTTGTAGGCAAGACCTTTTTTCACCATTATGCACGATCCGCCTCTTCCTTTGTTCCGGGAGTAATATGATGCGATTTCATAATCTTTAATTACTAAATTTCTTTTTTCACCCGATTTTACGAAAGTTTCCGTAAAGCATAAGACATCTGGATTAAGTTTTGTTTTAAGATCCGAAAGAGTTATTTCAATTATTTCTTTCTTAGAGCGTAGTCATGTTATCATTACCCCCAATACCTAGTATCACAATATCGTCATCTGTTAACTGTACAGTTTACAGTGTTAGAATATCTCAAATGGTTTAAAATTACCGTACTCGTTGCATTATTCATTATAAATGCCTTAGGTATATATTTATCGTTCCATTTTCCATATCTGGATTTGATCAGCGCTGCAAACAAACCTAAAAGCTGATCATCACCTATTACATGGATCACTGGTTTCTGTTTTGAGCATCTTGGAGTGATGGTTGTTTGTGTGGACTTAGTAATAGGATCGACTGGTGGAATGACACTTTTTGGTGGAATAACACTTTTTGAGTTACTGTTCTGTTTTTCAGTTTGCCCTACGTCTTCTCCTTTATCGTCGTTGTCTTTAATTTCTATTGTGTTTATCATTGAAAAAGTATCTTTCTTCTCTAGTATAGAAAAATCTAATCGTGTTTTTGTCAGATTTCGATTAATGTCTTTGATTGAGGATTTTTTGTGTATTGAGTTTTTTGATGCAGAACTCTGTTTAAATATACTAGTAAGTTGTTCAATTTTTAATTGGTATTCAGAGATCTTTTTCTTTAAGGCAAAATTTTCCGATAAAATGGTTTCAATCTCATGTTCAGCTATTTCTAATTTTTCTTCCAGGTTTTTATTTTTTATCTGAATTGCTTCTATCTGTTCGAAATAGTTCATTCCGAGGTCTGGACAACTTCTATTTAAACCACTCGTTTCAATACATGAGGAATAATTAAATTTGTCATCATCTGATGACAAGGAATCGAATGAATTTTCCGTTGGTACATTGATTTTATATTTATTTCTTAATGTTATATTATGTGTGGGGGTATTCATTTCTTGTGACACATTTGAGTGTTGAGGTATTATCAAATTAGACTCATAGCAGTCTTTACACCTCCATGTCTTTTTCTTTTGAGGTGTCATTAAAACAAATCTTTTAAATGAGACGTTTGTACAATTGAGATGAAAGTTGTTCTTACAAGCAGAACAAATCATGAATTGTCTCTCGTCAATAATAATATTACATTTAAAACAAGTTGTTTGTTCCATCCTATATGTAGTTAAGCAGTATAACGTAAGTATCTTACTAGTCTTAAACACACAGTTTCCGTTAAGGATTTTTAGTTATTTACAAGAAAAATTGTTTGCCTTGAGTTATCAACATATTATAACGCTTCTATTATATGATCGATTAACGGAAAAGATATTGATGGCGTATATAAGCTTGCGTCCCTGTGTTAAGTAAACGGCATACAAATTATAAACAGTCCCTAAAATGTCAGCAAGACAGCGGACAAGGGATGTGCAAATATTGTAGTGTTTTCGTCAAACTCTCTAATCTACTAGAACATCGCTTGTACAAAGACCTGGTAGGACTCGAATCCCAGATAAAAGGAAAAACACAGGCACGGAAGGAAAACAAAAAATTGAGAATTACCAAAATGTAGTTGTTGGTTTTACTTAAAGATTTTTCCTGTGGTATAAAAACTGTTTACAAGAGTTATATGCATTTAGTTTAACTCTAAGTTAAAGTTATTACATACAATTCATATACAACACACACCCGGATGGCAATGGAGTCTACAGCCCGCGTTAAAATTCTATTAACGATGAACAGTTAAAAAATCATTAAACATTTGCGAGAAGGTGGTAGAGGAGCAACCGTTCCTCTAGTGATTAGTTTCTCATTAAAAATATGTATACATGTGAGCATGTCGTATTTCACCTTTTAATTATATAGTCATTACATTTAATTACATCATTACATTTACATAAAAGTACATATAGAGATTTTTATAGAGATATTATCGGTTGAGGATTTGACAGATGGAAAGCTTCTCAGTGGACACGTGGTCTTAGATGTAATGAATATTGAAAAAATTGACAGGCCATTTTTGCTAGGCCCTAATTCTTTCGTATAATTATATAAATTGATTTAATTCATGTTCAAGATTAAAATCTGAGCCACGGTAATTGCTATGCCAGCGTGTTAATTTCTTGTAACGAAGCGAAAGACCTGTAATTTTACGCCTTAATAAGCAATTTTACGGTTGTAATACCTTGTTAATACTTAATTAACACTAGCAATAAGCCACTAGGTCTATATCACTACCGTCATACATTTTCAACATATTTCCATGTAACCCTATTTAATAACAAAAGATACTACTTTTTCAGCAAGATATAGCGGAGTAAATATAACGTTTGCACACGTGTCTTAATTTTCTGACCAGCAAACATTTATTACATCGCTGAATCATATCGACAGAACAGATAACAACATAGTTTCGAAACTGTTCGCAAGCACGAAGGCACGACCCACAAAGTCAAGATAATACATCGAACGGCCTATATACGCGATACGTTTGTAATTTTAGCTCTTTTATCGCCTATTTTAAAAGTGCTTTCGGCGTATCAATAACCTCAAAACGTGGTATAGAACGCTTTAACGTCTACTTGAGTACATAACTTGGCGAAATTTTAGCGGATCGTTAAGGGCTAGTCTCACCGTCAGAAGTGCTCGCAACTCGTTCGCTGATGCTTGAGGAGTTGGACAGTTTTGTGGCACAGCACGCGCGCCGCGCTCGCACGCGAAGCGACCTCGGGTGGCGGTGTCCCGGCCTGCTGGGCGCCGCGGCACTACTGCTGCCACGCGGTGTTTACTCCCGTCGGGCATGCGCGGTGCCTTTGCCAACCCCCAGGCTGGGGCGCCCAACCTTCGGTCTACGGCCACGGGGGGCTGCAGACCATTTCTAAGTACCTCCGCTGCTCTGTGAAGGAAAAGCTCTAGGCATCGAACACAAACCTTAGGAAAATTATTACACAGGTGGCTGCACCTCGATGCCCCGTAGGCGACATGCCATAATTATCACACGCAAGTGCACATGCGCGGCCCTACCCACTGAGGAGGGTAAACCCGTGGGTTCCGGCTAGCCCACCGGTTCTGCGTTCGACGAAGCTTTAACAGTCTACGGACTGAAAGCGTAACATCAATTATACAAAAAAAATGGTGGCTGCAGACCATTTCTAAGTTGCTCTTTCAAGAAACCTCTCTACATCGAAGACAAACCTTTGGAAAATTATACTGGTTTAAAGGATTTTAAAGCAAATATTTGAATTGTGATTGCTTCGTAAAGTTCATGATTAACTACTGAAACACCACAGCCGAGATAACTCGAACCCGAAGATTCACGAAGTACAGTTTTATATAAATGAGGAAAATCCTTTATTTTCATTTGAACCTGTAATTTTTCTGAGCATGTTTCCAACCCCTGACATAAGGCTTCATAATTTAAATAGTCCATTCATCGTAAGCTTTGATGCCCACAGTTAAAGTTGAAAATCGTAAAACCTCAGAGTTTTGTTTTGTAGTTGTACGAGATATGTGCGTATGCCGAGATGAGCCCACATTGTGGTAAATGAAACATTTGAGTGAATAGAAATTGATTTGTCTAAACGATTGAAACTTGACGCTATTTTCGTTTTGTTCAAGTTACATGCGTTTAAAATATTGAGTACTTAAGGCTCCACATGGTTATGTCCTTTGTAAGAAAAATAGGTTATACCCATAGGTTCGATACATACACTTTTGCTGATTCTTTGGTCTTAACGAAAGAGAAAATTATCATGTTGTTTTTTCGAAAAGGAAGAAAAGATGTTCCACATTTTCTTACTTTTATTAAATGTTTGTATCTGATGGGTATCAGATATCTGATAATTAGAATCTAATGAAAAAATAAAACGTTTACATTAAAAAAAAATTGGGTTTGGTACATAAATAGTGTTGCAGATATAGTGGTAACTCAATGTCCAAGCTCGATTTCATTTCGTTGACCTACAATGTAACTAAATCGAGTCCCTACTCGAACGACATGGGTTCAACAATAATATTGTTTTGTTCAATTATAACAATGAATCCATCGTGAACAAATCTGCATTTATCATCAAAATAGTAAAGAAATATGTCGAAGGCATATATGAAATCTGTCAATACACAGTGGTGTCGCAGCAGTTTTACGTCTTATACTGCCTCACGACATTTTTATACATAGACTGTTACTTATTTTTTGAGGCAGCTCGTCACCGATTCTGTCAAAGCTTCTCAAGACTTACACGACCTTCAGTAATGAAGATCACGAATAAGAAGGTTGAGATAACCGAAACAAAGAACATTTGATTTAAGAGGACGCGCTCCTCTGACATAGTTATGGGATCTAATAAAATTCCCTTAAAATTAATAGGTTTATTTGGACGAAGATTAAAATTTCGTTTATGGCTAGGAAAAGCGGAGAGAATATAGATGGTGTGGTGTGCAGTGTTTTTTTTTTCTTAAAAAACACTGCCCTTACTTTAGGATAACATTATCCTGTGATGTAAGGACGTTTTACAAACTTAAATTTCACGCGGACAAATAACCAGATTCGGAACAATTATCTGTGGTTCACACAAATAGTTGTCCCGTGTGGGAATCGAACGCACGACCCTCGACGCCGAAGCCTATACCATGGCAACTACGCCACGGAGTCATCAAATGGTGCCTTAAATGTCCTTAGTAAATTGTTATACTTCACTTATGGCTCCTTTTTTCCTTATAGGAACGTGACAATGAAGCAAAATATATTAATGATCTACATGTTTATTAGACATGACGATGGCAACTGCAATTACTAATCGATACCTTTGTCGCTGTACTTCCCCAAGTACTCTCTTATCTTTGGTATCTTTGGTAATAACATTTTTCTCGTGTGCCGACTATAGGTCACGTCGAGATGATTCCACAATGGATCCATAACAAAGAACAACTCGAGCACGTTGGGTAGTTGGTCGTTCAATCATCGTATGTCCTCCGACGCCACCACGCTATTGTTCTCACCATGAATAATCACTACAGGTATATCGGTAGCACTAATATTGTAAAGAGGAGAGAGCGTGCTACCGTAAACCTTGAGGTTTGTCGTAGAACCATAATCGATTCCGAAAATTGTCTGCATTTAAGAGTTAGCTGAACCATGCCAACGTCCCCGCGGGTAAGTGACCGGACAGGGTGCGGATCGTTGACACGTCGATTGAACCCGGATGTGAGGAGTCGATTAGATTCAAAAACGATCTACACATAATGTCCGCCACATAAAAATGTTGGCATAAACTGGCTATGGTCCTCCACAACTTCCCTTCCTGGAGGAATGCTTCAAAGTCGAGAGCATTACTTAAGTAAGGCTCTATGGACTGGTAGATTTCCGTTATCAACATGAAGGCAGTGGATTTAGTGTTCTTCATTCGGGACGCGGGGTGCAGGAGAATAGCGAGCCGTAGCTTACCGCTGTGTTGAGGCTTCTCCGAACACATTATAAGTAAGGACCCACCACTTTGTGAGAAACCGATGTAGTTCAACTTATCCGATTTAGTGTTTTGGATTATGTAGTCAATTATGGCCGGAAGGTCATACACGCCAACTTCGTGAAGGAAGAACTGCCAGTAACAGGATCTGTGTCGGGGTTGAGAGTCAAATGCTTCCTGGAGTAGTAGCTGCCACGTTGCTCGACCAAAAGTCGCAGCACTCGTCGCTGACAAGGTACCCCAGTCCGGCGTGGGGGCCGGAGTCCAGCCAGCTGTCCGAGCTCAAGAGCAGACCGTGCATTATCAGGACGGGCGGCTGCCGTACTCCTCCGCGGCAGTTCTTGCCCTTCGGGATCCTGAACACGGTCAAGACGTAACCGTCGTCAGTGACCACGGTATGCTCTTCCGCACGGTACCCAAGAACTGCGGCCGACTCGGTGAAGTTAAGCAAATGGCCGCTCGGTTCGGACTTCGTTAGCAGGAATTTTCTTAGCACTCCGCTAACGTCTTGCACGGCCAGTTTAAAGAAAATCAGATACACTACGCACCATAATATCTTTGACGCTGTCGTCTTTAAGAACTGCTCTCTTGGATGGAAAATCCTCATTCTGGATAGTGAGTATGTAACAAGTAATATCTGTTTATAACACAACAATTACCCGAACGACATCTACACTGATAATAACTTCTCATATCGACGCAAAGTTAGCAGTTTTATTTCAGTGTTTTGAAAGGTTTATAGTATCCCTGTCTACTTTTCACTTTGTTAGACTGAAATTTTTAACTGTTATTTCTGGAGCATCAAAAATAAGTCCACCAACAAAAGAAAACATCAGATCAAACAACTGCGTGCTTATAAACAACCAAACCAATTGACATTGTAACTCTATGGCAAGGCTGAATAACGCTCGTATTCCGTTGATATCCTTCAGATGAACCACGTTAATTTTGAAATAAAATAGACTAAACACTAATCTAATACGATAGAGTATGCATGCATATTTAGTGTTAACGAGGAGCATACTCCAACATAAGTTCAGCATACGAATGAGTGAACGCACAAACCGAATGCCGGGTCTCGATCGCGCTTTGTGCGGAACCGTTCGGTCGCAGCGTATCGGCCTTCGCGGTTCAATGGGCGCTTTCGTGTTGAAGCGCAGTATGTTTCAGCTAAAAGCAAACATGTCGACAGGTAGCGTACTACTATACTATCATGGCTCTAAACTAAAATTAAGCTCACTATCGGACAGACGTAAACTACATGATTTAGTTTTTTTGTACAAGCTTACAAATGGAACTATAGATTCTGCAGAATTACTATCACAAATATTGTTTAAAGTTCCCTGCCGTGTACCGCGTTTTTCGATTCCCTTACTCAATCACAAATTGTATAAAACTAATCTTGGTCATCACTCTCTTATACCGAGAATAAGCAGATTGTATAACGAATGTGTGCTTAAAGATAAGACTATTGACTTATTTAGTGATAGTATAAAAACTTTCAGAGCCAAAATTTTCAAACTATTTAATAATTCTAAGTAAAAATTCTACCATAATTTTATATAAACTCGATATAAATTGTTATTATTTTTATAAATTTTTAATTTTCTTATTTTTCTTATTGTCTTATTGTTGTTTTTTTTTTTTTTGTTTCATATTAGTATTTTACTCGTACTTGTAACAATTATTAAGTTATCGTACACTTATCGTCTTTTTAAACATGCTGTGGCTACCTTTAAATGGAAACATGTAAATCTTAGTTCCTAAGTCTATTGCCAGTTTTTATAACAAAACAACATGTTATTCCGTTGGTGGTTCTATAATATTATAAATAAATAAATAAATGGCGTACTGGACTATCGATGTCATTAACTTTTTTTAATGGTTTACATCTTACTAAAAACCACAACAACAACAACAATAACAACCGTTTTACTATTTTCGTATAATGTATTAGGTCCTAAACTCAGCATACTACACTATAGTAACAGTTTATAATATATAGTAAAGATCAAAAAAAAATATTGTAGCTATACTTCTTTTAGCGCATAAAATGAATTTTATCTTGTTACGCCAAAGAAGTATAACTTCTAACGCGTGTACATAAGTACACACACACTTGTTTTTAAATATATATATATATACCATTCAAATGGAATTTCATTGCGCCCCAGTACATGTTGGACACTTTTATGATGTTTTGCATCGTCTCATATGATTTCCAAATTCCGCAATACAACGTCTCACTCGTCAAGATGAAACGCAAAAGTATAATACGTAAACTTCACGCTGGGCTTCTACGAGACCGCGATACTTCCACGGGCGAGCCAGGCATTTGTTCACCAGCAGAACCTGCCACTACCACAGTATCTTTACCTATATAAAACTTATATAAACGTCCCCGTAGAGCCGTGTTAGCTCAGGTTCCGGGCGCTCGCCTTTAATTCAATATACTCGAGCAACCTGAGTTCGATCCCCGGTGCCGGCACCAATGAAATTGTTAATCTCAAGTCCTGAATTATCACGTGCTCAGCGGTGAAGGTAAACATCGTCAGGAAACCTGCATATTGTCGAAATAAAAAAAATTCGAAGATATGTGACATCCGCCATTCCGCAGTGGGGCCGCGTAGAGTACTATGCCCCGATACCCTCTGCACAGAGGAGGCCTTTGCCCAGCAGTGGACAATGTATAGGCTGATACTTTTTACTGTACTTTATACACGTCCCCAATTGCTAAACTACACCACGTGTTAGAAAGGAATTCCATAATAACATTGAGTTAGAGCTTAAAAAACGTCTAGGCCAAAAGATCCGGCCGAGTCAAACTGATGCCGCGTAGCAAGTGGACTTTTAACTGCCAATCCATTATACATTAGACGAGCTGACCTATAAAGTTGACCGACATTTGTCCGTCGCGATTGTGATCGCTTGGCACGATATCGGAACGGTCGAGGGTTGGTAAACTTAACAAAAGCCGGGATGAAGCCGGGGTGAGCGCGATACGCGAACTTCAAGCCGCCTCATTCGTTTGAGGAATAACCGATCTAATCTATTTTCTGCTCTTGCTACCTATTATTTCGAATGTGTCAGAAATTGATATTATTGTCGATGAAATGTGAAGGGCAGAAAAATGATCACTTTTAAGAATATAAGAGCAAGTTCTATCTAAATATCCTTTCTTTTTACTAAACATGTAGTTCGTAAGTATTTACGTGAGCTGTTGAAACAGCAGATAATGCTCGACAATCAATTTATAGTGACAATAATCGAGTCTAAGCAGTGAAGTATGGCAGTCGGTTTCTAGGAATTCACAAGTAAAAAAGACGTTTTAGACCTTAGATAGGTAAATATTACTATTTTAGAATAATCTTGAGCGTAAATAATTAATTCTAGCACATTTATTTCGTTATATTAGGTAACTGTAAATTCTAACCTGAAAAGTACCATTTTTATAATATTTTTTGGACTTGAAATCGTAAAAATAGCTACATGACATTAATTCAATAATTTAAAGGTCTGCCGTTACTTTAGGATAATATTATCCTGTGTTGTAAAGGACGTTTAACAAACATAAATTTCACGCGGACAAACACCCAGATGCAAAACAACTATCTGTGGGTCGCACAAATAGTTGTCCCGTGTGGGAATCGAACCCACGACCCCCGACGCCGAAGCCAATACCTTGGCAACTGCGCCACGGAGTCATCATATAAACATAATACTATACCTTGTAACTATACATAAACTTTCATTATCAGGTTTTTAAATTTACGGGAAATGGGCATTGTTCTTTATGATGCACAATAATAAAACATACATTAGTTTTGAACGGAGTATTAAAGTCGGTGTCAAATAGAAGTCATACTTTTACGTTTCGTTTGAAATGTCCTCCTACGTTGCCACATTTTCATTTAAAAAAATATCACAACATCATCGTTCCGTGTGGGATTAATTTAATTTACTATTTTTTTAGAAGTTCAAAGTCTTGACATCAATGAATAAAAAAATGTTACGTGTCGCGGAACGACGAAGAAATTAGCGAATATGGGGAGTAACAACTATATTGCTCAGTGTAATGGTCGTCAAAGGGCAACTTAAGAAATCTATTACAACAGAAATCACATTATATCTATACTCTACAATATATATTCTAGTATATATCTATATCACTATAATTATTAGTTCTAATAATAACTATAACTACTAATACTATATTTGTTCTAATAATAAAATTATATGTCTGTTTAGAAGTCTTGAAAAAACAGTAAGGCGAAAGAAAGAATCCTCTATTTAATGCTGGACTTTAACGAATATAAGTATTTTACGGATTTTAAATTCAGATTTTATCGGTCACGCAGTAGATTGCCATCTTTCACAGTCTAATTTCATAGTGTACCGTGTTAGCATCAGCATAACGATTTGTCTTTTTTTTTTCATGATACAATCAGTTTTATTGTATATATAGTATTGGTGTGCTTCAATTTATTTTTATTAATTATGGTGTCATAAATCGATAGTGCCTAACTTTACCATGATTTGGCATTCAGGGCGATAAACTCATCTCTGTGTAAAATTCACGTCCGCCTTAACTACGAGAAATCGTATACATGATCTCACTTAACCTTCCAAAACCATCTCCGTAATCGATGCAATTGTCCTAGAACGAAGGTGTACGAAAATTCGTATTAATGAAATTATTTCTTTATTATTGAATATCGCGTACATGTTTAAGGCAATATAATGTAGGATACACTTCTAAATTGAATAGTAGTGCTGTCACAAAAGTGTTGTTCAATAACAAAACCATTTAGGTACTTTGAATACTATAAAATTCTCGCGAATATCGTAATTCTTTTATTATACTCCTATTGATGACTCCTTGGCGCAGTTGCCAAGTTATTGGTTTCGGCGTCGGGGGTCGTGGGTTCCCACACGGGACAACTATGTTCATGACAAGATGTTTCGCATCTGGGTGTTTGTCCACGTGAAATTTATGTTTGTAAAACGTCCCTTAAACACAGGCTAATGTTATCCTGAGGTAAGGGCAATGTGTTTTTAAAAAAAATGTAAGTATTTAACTCCAAGACGAAATTGAATCAAGAAATAAAAATATTTATTCGCTTTATAATTATCTTGATTTTATTCGCTTAAATTTTCACAGAAAAGCTATTGATACACTGGACACAATAAGATGTGACTTATCCAGCGCTACTGCAAACCTAACTTTTGGAAAGCTTCAAGAAAGCGCCAAACAAAAAAATACATTGAGTCAAAACTTTAGAGGAATACGAAACTGTATGAAATCAGCAAATTTCAGACAGTTTCCAGGGGACTTACCTAGTTTATTTGAACAAATAATATCATATCAGACAAAATATTCCAAAATAATCATATATAAGAGTACCGTTCCAATGGACTAGTTAATAACTGTGCATATAACAGGGTAACAAAATTTTAATTATGCAAATTGAATGCGGTATGAAGAGGCAAGTGGCAGTTTGAAGAGCTACCGAAAGACTGATGAAACAGGCGTTGAGATATATTATACATTTGATTTAGACGTGAAGCTTCTTTGAGATGTATGAAGGTATGTGTTAATGCAGGGAG